AGTTAATTAGTTTCGACTAAGAAAACTAAATAAATAAAATAAAAATTTTATTTAAACTATTATCTTCTTTAAACAAAATTATTCGCTAATAACAAAATCAATTCATTGATCCCTATTCATTCTGATCCACACAAAATAAAAATAATTGTTATCACCAATTAAAATACGCTCTCCCAAATTTAATCGTATTTTTCAAATCATGTGGGCAGAAATTGGTGACATAAATTTGTGGTGTATAAAATTCAGCATGAGAGTGGTAACGTTACACCATAAATATGTGTGCAAGAAATCAACTAAAATTTAAATTCGGCCAGGTGATTGAGCTTATTGAAATTTGAAAAATCGAGTGAAAATGTTTTTTATTATATGTATATAGCAAGCTTGAAAATATCTTGGCTTTAATTCTATGATTTTGTTTTTGGTTATGCATTTCCATATTTGGAAGAGTTAGAGGATATATATATATATATATATACAAAGCCAATAAAAGTTCAGTGACTACACAATAACCTAGTGAACATGTGTCACTTATGCAATTATAGGTAATTTCTATGGAGAAATTAAATTTGCAAATGGAAATAAATTTAGTGGAATCACTGACAAAGGAGAACTTAACATGAATAAATTCAACAAACTTTTCTTCCAGTACTATAAAATAATAATAGAGAAATCAATTTCATTCAGTTGTGGAAACACAATTTAGATACTGATGAGGATTTTCCTTTTAATAATTCAAATATGTTATTAGTTGCTAGAATAGGATTTCTTATACCCATTTCTAATGCTCATGTAAAAAGAAGATTTTCTCAAACAAAGTTAATTAAAAACAATATGAGAAAACAAATGAATGTAAACACATTAGATGATCATTTAATAATGGACCACAAATTGAAATTTTTGATTTTTTTAAAAGCACTAGAGCATTGGAAAAGTAAAAAACAAGAAGGATAATACAATATTCATTATAATAATTAAATTAAAAATTTCTAAAAAATATGTGTGCACGTGGATTGTGTAACGTTACGCCCTCCCGCTGAATTTTACACACTGTGATCAAATTTTATTGAATTGATTTTAATGCCAATTTAAATGTCGTTAAAATGTTAAAATATTACTTCTAAATATCTAATTATATGCAGGGTAATATATTAGTAATATAACAAATTTTGGCATTAAAACAGATTCTTAATTTACCTTTAGTTATATATATAATCAACAAACTGATAATAAAAGACTCATCCAATTGTTAATAAATAAGTTCATCCATAAAACTGACACTTCGTGACCAAATCATACAATGTTTTTCTATGACAGGTCAAGAACGTTTGCATGTATCACGTTAAATGAGATCCATGTAGGCAAAGCCGTGTGTGTATCATTCCGCAATTTTGACATTCACCACGTTTGGAGAAATGCTCCCAAATTTTTTTTATGAACTAAAATCTATTTAATGCTAATTAAAATACAAATATTAAGGTTATCTATAGAATTCCGGATGATCTAGTTATTTGCAGAATAATATATCTACTAATCCTGTTTTGTTTGTATTTCTTATAATTAAATAGGTATATTAAATAATAGAGAAATACTCATTTCACGTTAAAAAATATATATATAATAAATTTCAGCATTAAAAATAAATTATAATTTACCCAATTTATATAATTAATATATAATAATAAAAACTCTTCCAATTGTTAATGATTTCATTCATAAAATAGAAAATGAAACAAATTTTGGTTTGTAAAAAAAAAATATTTTAATACTTTTTTTTATTCGTATTATATAGATCCTCACTACTTACTTAGGATTGGAAAAACATATAAGTAAACGTTGCTTATTGAAGACGACAATTTTGTTACACAAAACTCGAAATATCACGTTTTATTACTATGTAAATTTCCTGTGTCAAAACAGGATTTTCGAGTATTTTTATTACAGGATTGTTAATTAATAAATTAATAAATTTTTATTATTATTATTATTTTTTTCAAGAAAAATAAATTCTTTCAAAAATGTCAACATTAGAGAATATAAGTTCATTATTTGACAAACTTATAAATTCAAATAAAGATGCTCTATCATTAAACTATACTAGTAAACTTCTAAATGATTTAACAAAGTTGCTAATTGAAACAGACTATTATGATGTAGAAATTAAAATTGGAGAAGGTCTGGATGTTAAAACTTTTAAAGCTCATTCTACTATTTTAAAAGCAAGATCTTCATATTTTAAAGCTGCTTTTTCAAATAATTGGGTTAAAAAATCTGATGATGGTAATATTATTTTGTTTGAAAAAAAAAATATTTCTCCAAAAGTATTTGAAGTTATTTTGATGTAAGAATTATTTATTAATTAATTAATTATAACATGTGTAATAATTTTTTGTAAAAAAAATTTTAATTTTTTAATTTTTTAATTTTAAAAGATATATTTACAATGGAATTATGAATATAGATAACATGACTCCAGAAGAAATTCTTGAACTTCTTGAAGCATGTGATGAATTAAATTTTAGTGAATTAATTGATGATTTACAAAATCATTTAATAGTTGAAAAAAAAGATTGGGTTCAACATAATTTAGCTTATGTTCATAAAATTTCATCAAATTACAAATTACTTCAAGATCATTTTGATGAATTAATTTATGACAATCCTCAACTATTTTTAAAATCTGATGATTTTAATAATATTGATAAATCTATTCTTACATCTATGTTAAAAAGAAATGATTTGGAAGTAAGTGAAATTGACATTTGGAATCTTGTTATTCAATGGGGGGTATAGGACAAAACAATGAATTAAACAAGATATTTCAGGGTGGAACAAAAATGATTTTATCATATTAAAAAATATAATAATAGATATTATTCCATTGATAAGATTCAATCCTATTACTTCAACTGATTTTCATGGTAAAATTACATTATTTAAAAAATCTTTTGATAAAGAAATATATAAAGAACTTCTTCAATATTATCTCAGTGATAATTGGAAACCAAAATTATTACTTCAGAAAGGTCCAAGAACAAAAGCAGCAAGAGGAAACTTATTAAATTTAAAAAAAATATGTTTAATTTCTAGCTGGATTGATAAAAAAAAAGACTTATATAATGCAAATACTTTGCCTTATGAATTTAAGTTAATTCTCAATGGAACTCAAGATGGATTTTCTAGATCTGTCTTTGAGAAAAAATGTTATGATGTAGAACAGACTATAGCAATTATGAAAATTAAAGAAACTGGAGAATTAATTGGTGGTTATAACCCTGTTGGCTGGAACATTAAAGGAAAGTTTCCAGATGAAGGATATTACATTGAAACAAATAAAAGTTTTATTTTTAAAATTAACAAAAACCAAATAATGAATTCAATAATAAACAGAGTCAAAAATTCAAAAAAAGCAATAGAGCATAGTAAACCAAATCTTGTAACTGTAGATGATATGAAATTTGATGAAAATACTATAGATTTTTACAATTTTGGATCATGTAATAGCATTAATAACAATCCTTATTTTTATTGTTATCGTAATAATTCTGATGATCCTTATGAAAACAATTTTGATTTTATAAATAAGGATAAATATGGTAATTTGTTAGCATTAGAAGCATTAGAAGAATTAGAAGTCTATGAATTAGTAAAGAGTGAATGATTTTTTTTAAACCATGTTTATTTATGTCATAAAAATTATCAATTTTCAAATTCTTACAATAAAATACACGTATAACAATCTCCATAAATTTCCAAATCAACTATGTAGATAACAAAATTCACACACTTAATACTAGGCAAATTTGACATGATTTACAATCAAAATTAAGGTTTCTGGCCGAAACTGCTTCTATTAGTAGCCGAAATTGCCCAAATACTTTGGGCAAAAATTATTTTTTTA